GGAACAGGCTGTGATCACACTCGCTCTTCTTGAACCCCCCGGCCAGCAGTGTCTCCTCCAGCTTGTGGTACCATGCGCGAGGAGCCTGCTTCAGGCCATAGATGGCCTTCTTGAGCCTGCACACCCTGCCGCTCCCATCATCCAACCCCTCAAGCTGCAGCATGTACAGCTCCAGAATGATTCCATTGAGGAAGGCAGTGATTATGTCCATCTGCTTGATCTTCCAGCCACGGTTTGCAGCCATTGCCAACATCGTCCTCAGTGTAGTGCCTTTCCCCACAGGAGCAAAGATATCATCAAAATCCTTCCCCTTTGTCTGTTGGAACCCCTTAGCCACAAGCCTTGACTTGTAGCGGGTCAGCTCCCCATCAGGTCCGTACTTGTGCCTGAAAATCAGCTTGGAAGAAATGGCCTTCTTCCCTGGAGGCAGCTCACACAGCTCCCACGTCTCGTTCTCCAGCAGAGAGTCATACTCCTCCTTCACACTCTGCTTCCACTTCTCAGCATCGGGCCCACTCAAGGCCTCGGTAAGTGTCTTGGGCTCAGGGACGGCTGCCTAGTAACAGTGCGCTATCTCCTCCTCATCACACTGCTCAGCCACACTCCCAGCCCTTACCACACTTGGCTTCCCAAAGCTCGGATAGGTCAGCCGGTTAGGAGGGCGCACATCCCTCCTTGGACGGTCAGCCGGACGTACGGCACCTTGTGGAGCATCTTGCTGCTGCTGCTGCTCCTCCACCTCAGGTTCTCCCCCATCCTCAGTCACCCCAGAAATCTCCTCCTCTGAGACAGTGACCTGCACTTGCCTCGAAGGCCGCTGCACCTCATCAGCCTCAATGATCAGCGGTGTAGTGGGAAGCTTCCGCTGCTGCTGCTTCCACTCCTTGTAGTACAAGGACTCAAGGAACTTCACATCCCTCGACACAGTCAGCTGCTGGCTGGTCAAGTCCCAAATCAGCCAGCCCTTGTGATCCTTAGCAAGCCCCAAGTGCACACCCCATCTCCCAGAAGCTTCCAGTTTTCCCCTCTTCTCCTTAGGCACATGAAACACCACCATGCAGCCGTAGGCTCTCAGCATGTTGACTGCTGGTGCACTCCCATACCACTTGGTGTAGGGGACCCATTGCTTGTCCCCCACTGTCGCCAGCACCCGATTCTTCACAACAGCGACCTGCCGCAGTGCTGTCACCCAAAACGGATCCGGCAGCCCTGCACGCCCAAGGAGAGTGCGAGCACCTTCCTGCAGGGTCCGGTTGAACCGCTCAGCCACGCCGTTCTGCTGAGGGTTGTAGGGCAACGTGAGCTGATGCTGGATCCCCTTCTTCTTCAGCACCGCCTCAAAATCAGCGCCAATAAACTCTCCCCCATTGTCGGTGCGGATCACCTTGACCTTGTGTCCGCTCTCCCTTTGTGCTCTCGGCATCCACTCCTTAAGAACAGCCGCTGCCACCTCCCCTTTAGTCTTGAGAGGGTAGACCCACACTGCACGTGTGTGGTCATCCACAATGGTCAAGAAGTAGCGGCTGCCCGAGAGAGAAAGGGCCCTTGTGGGGCCCAACACATCCATGTGCACAAGCGCGAGTGGAACCTTGGCTGGTCCCGTGCTGCTGCTGAAAGGGAACTTGGTGAACTTTGTCTCAAGGCATGTAGGGCAGCTCCCAATCTCCTTCGCTGCCCCCTTCACCTCCAATCCCTTCAAGCTCCCATCCTTCACCAACTTCTGCAGCATAGGAATGTTGATGTGGCACAGCCTCTCATGCCACGTCTCCCAATCAGCCTCACCACTCCCAGACGAAGCCTTTGCCCATGCAGCCATTGCATCCACACCAGCAAGCACCTCACCATGTGATTGCTGTGGCTGCTGCACCTTCTTGACTGCATCCAGGGCCCCAGCAGTTGGTGCAGTCTCCTCTCCTCCCGCAGTTGCCTTAGCCGCTGCCGCTGCCTTTGCCGTTGCTGGAGGTTTCCCATTCCAAGGGATGATGGGCAGCTGCCACAGGTCCTTGATGCAGCTGCTCTTCTCCTCCAAATCCCACAGCAGCAACTTCCCAAGCTTTGCACGGCAGCTGGTTGGGCCGAACGTGACTTTGGCCTTGCTTTTCTGCAGCCGGCTCACAGAGAGGAGGTTAGCGGATAAACCTTCAACCAACAGCACATTTCCCAGCCCCACAAGCCCCCCATTAGCTCCCATAACCTTGGCATTCCCAACACCAATTACAGGGAGCAAGGCACCTGAAGCGGCAGCCACAAACTTTATCTTCCCAGGGGGCTTCACCTCATCAAGCAAATCTGCCCGTGGAGTCATGTGACTCGTGCAACCTGAATCGATCACCCAATGAGTGAGGGGGTGCATCACAACCTTCCCAACTGAACCCACATCACCCCCACTCCCTTGCACATCCTCAACCATGAGGAACATCCCAGGGTCGGCTTTACCTTGTGCACCATCACCTTGTGCACCTGAACCTTGCACAGCACCACCTCGTGCACGTTCACCACTTGGCGGCTTCCTGCCTGGAGGTGCCCATCCTTCAGGCCGGCTGAAACACTTGAACCACGGGTGTCCAGCCTTCTTGTAGTACCAGCACGCACCCTCCATTCGGGTGCTCTCCCTGCCACCAGAGCTCTCATGCCCCTCGTTGTAGTCACCTCGGCCTCTTCCTCTGCCAAAGCCTCTCCCACGGCCTCGGCCTCTCCCTCCCCCTCTTCTTCTGCTGCCTCCTGCAGCTCCATACCCCTCAGCAGTTTTGTTGGCAGCACCACCTCCTGTGTGGCGCCTGCGGAAGTCCTCTTGCAGGATCTGCTGCCGTAGCCACTCAGGCGTCCACTTGTCCTGCTGAGCGTTGAGGGTGGGGATAAGGTTGTCCCACGAGTTGTCGAGCACCGAGATGATTTTGGTGCACTGCTGCATTTCCGACACCTTGCTGCCCGCCGCTGCCATCCTCGCATAGGTGTCCTTGATCTTGTCAAGGGCCGGCTTCACATCATCTCCCGGCCGCATGGAGAGGGCAGCCAGCTCCTTCTCCAATACGATCACCATCGGCAGCGTGTTGGGTTGAACCACGTCGCGTAGCAGCTTCCACGCCTTCGGTCCCGAGTCATGGAGCTCCACCAAATCCTTGATGTGCTGGAACATGTCGTTGTTGACCGACTGTAGAATCAAGTCGTACAGCACCGCGCTCCGTTCAATCCACCGATCGCGGGCATCTCCTTCCTCGGGCATCTTCTCCTCTCCCATAGCCAATTTCAGCAGCTTGTAGCGCTTGAAGGCGCTCCTCATCCGCCCACTCCATTCTTCATAGTTGGAGCCATTCAATGCCTCAATCTTGGATGGTGGCGGCTCACTCTTCTTCTCAGCTCCTTATCCACTCCCTTGACTCATCTCCTCTGCTCCCAATCAGAGGTTTCAGCTCCTCCCCTATGCTGGTCACAATGTAGATCCACACAATCTTCACAAGTGTCGGCGCCAACGAAATTTCGGCAGAGTTTCCCCTTAGCGGAAGTCACGTGCAACCTCTAGAACTCCACTTAGGCACGCCCACAGGCCATGGTGGGTCTAGGAGGGTCTTCACACTTCAGTAGACTCTCCACAAAGTCCTTAACCAGCTCTGATACCACTTGTTAAAAACTAAGGACGGAGTCTATGAAGATTAGGTGCCCAAATTTCTCAAAATCGTTGGTCTCAATTTCTGGACAGAAATGTCGACTTCACAAGAAACGTTGTCGACGAATGGTGCACAGTTAGAATCCCACGAAATTCGAATATGTTGTAGCCCTAGACCGTGGCTACATTTCCCAATTTGAATCGTATCAAAATATGAAGCATATCTCGAGTTATACGTTTCGGCGCACTAGGGGGTATGCTGCCACAGAAATTTAACTCAATCACAATTAACTCACAAGTCCCACAAAAGAACATTAGAGTAACACTAAACCTGGTAGGAGGGGAAGAGGAGGACGAGAGGGAAGGTCCCAAGAGAGAGTCCCCAACCAAGGAAACCCCATGCCACACGATTCCCTTCCCCATAGGCAACAAACTTTGACCTTTGTCACTTTCCAACCCATGCCATCCACCTCACCACAACTTGGCCACACTTACCAACCTGGTTTGGCTTCACCCAACCTCTTGGCAGCATCTACAGTGATGGGTTCGAATTTCCCAACCCCCACAAGTCTGTACCCCATATTGAGTCAATGCCACAACTTCCCAAAGTAGCTGCAACCAAAATATATAAGCATACGAACTCCAATGTTTGTAACTTTCTTGGTTGTGCTCCGATCGCGACGATTCATGGTTCGTCGGAAAGCTCTTGAGTAGAGGAATCACTTCAGATATCTGCTCAAGCCAAATAACATACACAAACACACACACATACACACACACACACACACACACACACACACACACACACACACACACACACACACACACACACACACACACACACACACACACACACACACACACACACACACACACACACACACACACACACACACACACACACACACACACACACACACACACACACAGAGAAAATCCAAACCACACAAGACACAAATTTCTTGCACACGCTCACACCACGCATGCAACGCACAAACACATGATGGGAGGCAGACAGACGTGAATGCATATGGTTGCATCACACAACATTCCATTCCCATTCCTGCCCCTGCAGAGCCTCCTCCCTTTCGCGTCGTTCTCGCTCACTGGCCTCCACCCTCTGTCGCTCTCGCTTCCCTTCACTCGGCTCTTCTCACCCTTTCCGCTCCCTCGCCTCCAACCTCTTACGCTCCCGCTCCCCATTTTCCCTTGTTTCCTTTTCGTGCGCCTGTCGATCCTCAACCTCCAGCCTCTTCCGCTCCGGTTCCCCCTCCCTAAGCCGCTTCTCCTTTTTTTCGCGCTCCTCCTTCCTCTCCTCCTCCCGCTTCCGCTCTTCCTCCTCCCGCTGCCGCAAGTCTCCTTTTTCGCGCTCGGCCTTTTTTTCTTCTTCCTTTTTTTACTCTTCATCCTCCCTCTGCCACTCTTTCTCCTCCCTCTGCCGAGTCTCCTCTTTTTCGCGCTCAACCTGTTCCTCCTCCCTCTTCCGCCCTTCCTCCTCCCTCTGCCGCTTCTCCTCCTTTTCGTGCTCCACCTTTTTTTCCTCCTCCCTTTTTTGCTCTTCTGCCTCCCGCTGCCGCTTCTCCTCCTTTTCGCGCTCCACCTTCTTTTCCTCCTCCTTCCGCTCTTCCTCCTCCCTCCGCTGCTTCTCATTTTCGCGCTCCGCCTTTCTCTCATCCTCCCTCTGCCGCTCTTTCTCCTCCATCTGCCGAGTCTCCTCTTTTTCGCGCTCAACCTGTTCCTCCTCCCTCTTCCGCGCTTCCTCCTCCCTCTGCCACTTCTCCTCCTTTTCGCACTCCCCCTTTTTTTCCTCCTCCATTTTCTGCTCTTCCTCCTCCCACTGCCGCTTCTCCTCCTTTTCGCGCTCCACCTTCTTTTCCTCCTCCTTTCGCTCTTCCTCCTCCCTCCGCTGCTTCTCCTTTTCGCGCTCCGCCTTTCTCTCATCCTCTCTCTGCTGCTCTTTCTCCTCTTTCTACCGAGTCTCCTCTTTTTCGCGCTCAACCTGTTCCTCCTCCCTCTTCCGCGCTTCCTCCTCCCTTTGCCGCTTCTCCTCCTTTTCTCGCTCCACCTTTTTTTCCTCCTCCCTTTTCTGCTCTTCCTCCTCCCGCTGTCGCTTCTCCTCCTTTTCGCGCTTCACCTTCTTTTCCTCCTCCTTCCGCTCTTTGTCCTCCCTCCGCCGCGTCTCCTTCTTTTCGCACTCCGCCTTTCTCTCATCCTCCCTCAGCCGCTCTTTCTCCTCCCTCTGCCGCTTCTCCTCCTTTTCGCGCTCCACCTTCTTTTCCTCCTCCCTCTTCTGCTCTTCTTCCTCGCGCTGTCGCTTCTCCTCCTTTTCGCGCTCCACCTTCTTCTCCTCCTCCTTCCGCTCTTCCTCCTCCCTCTGCCACTTCTCCAGCTTTTCGCGCTCCGAATTCCTCTCATCCTCCCTCTTCCGCTCTTCCTCCTGCCGCTTCTCCTCCTTTTCGCGCTCCATCTTCCTCTCTTCCTCCCTCTCATGATCTTCCTCCTCCCGAGGACGCTCCTCTCGCCCCAGATCATACCTCTTCTTTGTTCGTGCCTCCCGTCTCTGATACACCACCCTAGTCTCCAGTTCCGACCTCTGCACCTCTTCCTCCAATTCGCCTACGACATTCAGACTTTCCTGCTCGTCTTCCAAACCCTGACACTGTTTGTGTTGAGCATTCTCGACGAGGAGATGCATTGCCTGTAAAGCAGTTGCAAGCTCCTCCATCATCTGATCTTCTATCATCTCCTTCTCCCCCCTCTACTGGATGGCCTCCTTTGCTGCCTTCTGCTGCGTCTCCCTCAATCCACGCAAGATTTCGCGCGCACTCTCCCCCTGAGCGGGTGCTTCCTCTGTATCAATCAGCTGACGCTCCCCATTCGCGACGCTCTGTCGCTCGTTGGCCAGACCAATTCGAACGCCGTCAGCAATCAGCGCACCCACAGCGACTATTTCCGCATCAATCTCTGGCGGGGGACCTGTGTCCTCTGCGACAGGCCCATGATGGTCCAAGTTGTCCACCTTCTCTTCCTCTCCAGCAATTTCACCACGTTCTACTTTGGCGAAATATGTACCACAGTATTTGAGTATCTCCGCCAGAACATGCTCTCGACGGTAATGTGGGGTTCCCATGACGAGGAATTTCTCGTCTGTAGTCCCCTGCTGCAGAATCTTGTCAAAATGATCTAGTATCTTGCACCACTGATAGGCCACGTGAAGGCCTGCACCAACCTCCCTCTCACCGACTGCCTGAGTTAGCTTCTGCACGAAATAGATGTGGAATCGCGTAAGCATCTGTCCGTTTTCGAAAGAACCAGTCTCAAGATTTGTACAGTCAACTTACCGCCGTTTTGTCGAGCTTCCACCCGCTTTTGATGCAAGCACGAATGTTTCCAAAAACTTCCTTCGTCTCCCCTTCCGAGGGCAAGAGCGCTTGCCCTCTTGAGTACTCCATCAAGAGCTGCAACTCCAGCCACCTGCGAAAAACGTGTTGTTTCGACGAATTCAATCAGCGTCGTATAAGTCGGCAACATGCACAGATGAACCATAAAATACGGATACCCACTGGACAATCTCTTGGGCAAGAACAGCGTGCTTGTGTGTCGGAGAACACACTTTTGGGTCGAAACACATGAGACGCGTCTGAACCGGTGACTTCGGTTTGTCCCACAGACTGCCGGGGCGTACCAGAAGAAAGAGGCTACAGTGCGCCCTGTCATAATCTAGAACGAGTTGGGCTTAGGAGCCATGGCTTAGGAGCCTTGGTAGTTGAGTTCGAGGGTAAGGAGAGTGTCGAGAAAGTTTAGGAAGGAGAATGAGGGTTTCAATAATAGAAAGGCATACAAGTTATAGTCAAGGAAATGGGCAAATGGTGCACCACCAAGAAGGAAACTATAACTACACTAAACTCTACTGTAGGCATTTATAAATGTGTACGAATACATTTCAACACGCCCGAGGGTCGGCACTGATAATGTAAGGGGTGGTGGGGCGAAATGATAGTCATGCAGAACTCGATATCAAACAAACGAGTAACTTTATGAGAAACAACGTTTTCGAAAGAACGTTTCGAAACTCGAACTCACCTGGACCATAGCGGGAATACGCAGAGCTGCTTGCCAAGGAGACCAGTAAGTCTATCAGGACCCATAGGTTCCACAGGGACTTTCACCCTAGCGACGTTGACCTTATTCATGGGAACAATTTCGACCTTCAAAAGCTGCTCCGCGGTCAGCCTTTTTTTTGCAAGCATCCTGCCCATCATGTATAGACAAACGCTCGATTCAGCTAAAACATTGGTAGAGGAACATAAACTCGATAGTTAATGAATCCTGCGGAGCACACATGCTAGGCAAAGAGCTTATCGCTACAGAGTACGGATGCGAAGGACATTTCTCTAAAACAGACACACTAAACAGAGTATTTAACATGATTAGCGGTTGGAGCTCTAACTTGGGCTACAATTAGGACATTTCTCTAACACAGACACACTAAACAGAGTATTTAACATGATTAGCTGATGGAGCTCTAACTTGGGCTACAATTTTCAGACACTATTTATTTGCACTCTCACAGCGCCTCCCAGAGCGCCTCCCACAGCAGGGCCCCTAGCTCCTGCAGCTCGACCCTGACGGCTAACGTACCACTCACGCAGCTGCTGTGGGGAGAAAGGGAGACGACGACGAGAGTGCAGCGGCGAGGCACCAGCGGAGCGACTACGGAGACAGCCGCTCCAGGGAGACTTCTCACCAGACGCCTCAGCGCCCCCAGGTGCAGCACCCCCAGACTCAGTACCCCCAGGCTCAGCACCCCCAGAATCAACACCCCAAGCATGACCACCCTCAGCAGGACCTGAGTCACCAGTGACCTCAACCGGCGCAGTCAAGGGAGGAGGGTCTACCTGAGACATACCTAAAGGAGCAGGACCGGGAGCGGGGAGGGGGTCTACCTTGGGAGCACCCGGAGCGAGGAAGAGCGACGGGGGGGGGGGGGGGGGGAGTGGGGCAGTGCAGTAGGGGAAGAGACGGTAAAGGGGAACCGACTCGTCATAAGACCAGTCAAGCAAAACAAAGCAAGCTCAGGGTGGATCACAACGTCACCACACAATCGGAGCACAAGAGCAAGGCCAAAAGGCCAGTTCACATGCAAGATCATATATAATGGTAAACAGGCAAGTGCAGGTATAGAAAGATCACAGTACAAGCAAGGTCAAGAAGTGAGCAAGTGAGGCCAAGTAGGCACAAGACCTAGCATCGAACAGAAGCGCAGATGATCACCAGGCGGAAGTGCCTTGGTAAAGATATCAGCAGTGTTGGACTCAGAGGCCACGTAAGCAAGGCGCAGCTGACCACGCTGCTGCAGCTCACGAGCAAGGAAGTAGCGAAGAGCAATGTGCTTCGTTCTGTGCTCCAGCCTGTGCTCCCGACACAAGGCCAGAATGGCCATGTTATCTACGTACAGAACTAGAGGAGAACGAGGCAGCTCTCCTAGGTCAGTCAGCAGGTAGGTGAGCCAGCGTAGCTCCTGTGCAGCCATGGCCCCCGCATAGATCTCAGCCTCACAGCTGGAGCCGAGAACAGAAGACGAGCGGGTAGACCGCCACAAAACAGAGCCGGAGCCAAGGCTGAAGGTGTAACCCTGTGACGACCGCTGCGTATCCTGGTCGTCAGCCCAAGAAGCGTCTGCGTGACCTGTGAGGACCACTCGACGTCGCCCTTCAAGCACTAGCCCCATGCCCGACGTACTGCACAAGTAGCGCAACACCCTCTTCGCTGCAGCCATGTGCTCTGGTCGGTGTCTCCCAGGAGCAACATAGCGTGCCAAGATGCTAAGAGGGTATGCAAGGTCAGGTCGTGTGCAGGTCATCAGGTACATGAGGCAGCCAACAAGCTCTGGGTACGGGCGACCCGGCTCTACGGACTCATTCAAAGGCAGAGCTGAGAGCGAGTGGCGAGTAGACAGAGGAGTGGCCTGAGGCGAGGAGTACGTGAAGTCGAAGCGCTGAAGGACCTGCTGCACCATGTGTGACTGAGTCAGGGTAATGGTGCGCTGTGCTCTGTCCCGCGTGATCTGCAAGCCAAGGTAGCTGCGCAGTTCACCCAGGTCTGTGCACGTGTGTCTCTTCTGCAGCTCCGACTTCTCGTGGGCGAGTCCAGCAGTGTCAGCAGTGGCAAAGACCAAGTCGTCGACGTACACGAGGATGTAGAACGGCAGCAAAGAGGTGTCGGTGCGCAGAAACAGCGACGGGTCGGCTGTAGAAGGAGCAATCCCAAGAGCCACAAGTGTAGTCCTCAGTGTGTCGTGCCACTCACGGGGCGCCTGGTGGAGACCGTAGACTAGCTGCCGGAGGCTCCACTGGGTACCAGGAGGAAACGACCTAGTGAAGCCAGGAGGGCGGTGCAGCCAGATCTTCTCGTGCAGGCTGCCCTGCAAGAAAGCTGTGCTGAAGTCAAGAGTCTGAAGCTCGTGGTCGCGCTGAGCGGCTATGTGCAGCAGCACCCGAAGAGTGGTCATCTTCGAGGTGGGAGAGAAGGTCTGAAAGTAGTCAACTCCCTGCCGCTAACTGAAGCCTCGAGCCACGTAACGCGCCTTGAAGACAGGCGGAGAACCCGGCGGCCGCTTCACCCTGAAAATCCACATGCCACTGACGATGTTCGCCCCATGTGGGGGAACCTCGTCGACGTAGGTGCCTGTGGACTTCCAGGAAGCCATCTCTGCGTCCATGGCCGACTGCCACTGAGAGGAATAGGGACCCTCGATCGCCTCAGCGTACGATCGAGGAGTCGGGATGTCTGGTGCATCCGGGTCTCCCTCAGGGGCAATCAGCGTGGACACGAGATGAGGCAAAGCAGCAACAAAAGACTGGAACTCCTCCTGCCTGTCCTCAAGGATGTCAGCAGGCTCATGACGCTCAGCAAGACCTCCAGTAGGACCAGTGTAGGGAGAAGGAGCAGGCAGAGGGGAGGAGGGCTGTAGCTGTGACCGCGACAGGACAGACTCTGGACCCTCTAAGGGAGGAGCAGGACCACTAGAGGGCGGGAGACCAAGAGCATGCTGAAGGAGCGGAACGAAGTACGCCCGCAGCCGCGCAGCGCCTCCAGAACCAACAGGGACAGCACCAGAACCCCCAGCGGCAGCACCAGCGCCAGCAGGACCTCCAGCTCCAAAAGCGCCAACCCCAGCACCCTCAGAAACACCGGCGCCAGCAGCACCACCAGCGCCAACACCCCCAGCAGCTCCAGCTCCAGCAGCTCCAACTCCAGCAGCCCCAGCAGCACCCCCAATCCCAGCAGCTCTAGTACCGTCAGTACGAGCACCTCCAGCTCTAGCAGCACGGCTCCAGCGCCGGGCAAACCACTCGCGCATCTCCTGCGGAGAGAGTAGCTCCCGCCTTGACGAAGCACCGCGAGAGGCCACACGAGTAGACCCAGCACCCCCAGGCTCCGCACCCCCAGGCTCAGCACCCCTAGGCTCAGCACCCCTAGACTCAGCACCCCCTGGCTCAGCACCCCCTGACTTAGCACCCCCAGGCTCAGCACCCCCAGGCTACGCACCCCTGGACTCAGCACCCCCAGTCTCCGCACCCCCAAACCCGGCACCCGCAGGCTGAGCACCTCTAGCAGCACCAGAGTCTACAGCTACCCCAACAGGCTCGACTGCGTCTACCTGGGATACACCTTACGGGGTAGGACCCTGAGGGGGGAGGGGGTCTATCGGGGGAGGACCTGGCACAAGGAAGAGCGGCG